CGGCGGCGGGGGGCATGGACTCGGGCGGCAGGAACTCCTCGGGGGCGCCCAACAGCACGACGCTGAGCGAGGCGCAGGGCAGCGCCATCCTCATCTCCTTCATCTACTCCGTGGTGTGCCTGGTGGGGCTGTGCGGCAACTCCATGGTCATCTACGTGATCCTGCGCTACGCCAAGATGAAGACGGCCACCAACATTTACATCCTCAACCTGGCCATCGCGGACGAGCTGCTCATGCTGAGCGTGCCCTTCCTGGTCACCTCCACGCTACTGCACCACTGGCCCTTCGGCTCGCTGCTCTGCCGCCTGGTGCTCAGCGTGGACGCCATCAACATGTTCACCAGCATCTACTGCCTGACGGTGCTGAGCGTGGACCGCTACATCGCCGTGGTGCACCCCATCAAGGCGGCCCGCTACCGCCGGCCCACCGTGGCCAAGATGGTGAACCTGGGCGTGTGGGTGCTGTCCATCCTCATCATCCTGCCCATCATCATCTACTCCAACACGGCGGCCAACAGCGACGGCACGGTAGCCTGCAACATGCTGATGCCCGAGCCCACGCAGAAGTGGCTGGTGGTCTTCGTGGTCTACACCTTCCTCATGGGCTTCCTGCTGCCCGTGGTGGCCATCTGCCTCTGCTACATCCTCATCATCGCCAAGATGCGCATGGTGGCGCTCAAGGCCGGCTGGCAGCAGCGCAAGCGCTCGGAGCGCAAGATCACGCTCATGGTCATGATGGTGGTCATGGTCTTCGTCATCTGCTGGATGCCCTTCTACATCGTGCAGCTGGTCAACGTCTTCAACGTGGAGCAGGACGACGCCACCATCAGCCAGCTCTCCGTCATCCTGGGCTACGCCAACAGCTGCGCCAACCCCATCCTCTACGGCTTCCTCTCGGACAACTTCAAGCGCTCCTTCCAGCGCCTGCTCTGCCTCAGCTGGATGGACAACGCCGCCGAGGAGCCGGTCGACTACTACGCCACCGCCCTCAAGAGCAGGGCGTACAGCGTGGAGGACTTCCCGCCCGACCGCTTGGAGTCGGGCAGCGTGTACAGGAACGGCACCTGCACCTCGCGGATTACCACGCTCTGAGGGCGGGCGGGCCGGCGGGGCCCGGGGTGAAGCCGCACCCCTGCTCCGACCGG